AGAGAGAGAGAGAGACAGAGAGAGAGAGAGAGAGACAGAGAGAGAGAGAGAGACAGAGAGAGAGAGAGAGAGAGAGAGAGAGAGAGAGAGAGAGAGAGAGAGAGAGAGAGAGACAGAGAGAGAGAGAGAGAGAGAGAGAGAGAGAGAGAGAGAGACAGAGAGAGAGACAGAGGGGAGGGGAGGAAGGCTTTGGGGGTTGGGTCGGTTCAGCGGTATTGGCCCGACCTTTTGATCGGCAGAACAGCCGGGCAGGCGTATGGGTTTTGGGTCTTGTTGGGTGGTGGTGAAGCCTTTTCCAACACCGCTGGAACGAGACCGGACCAGACCAAAACGGATGAAAGCGGGACAGACGAATCCTCCTCAAACATACATCCGGATACCCTTGTGGAACACGCCCGACTGGCAGGCAGGCAGGCAGGCAGGCAGGCAGGCAGGCAGGTTGGCCGGGGTGGCGGCTTGTTTGTTGTCAGGGCCCACCAGCACAAAAGGGAAAAGGACACGCGGAGCACTCCAAAGAAAAAAAAACAACACCTTTTGGTGGAGCGTACGTGGAAAATGGGATCGGCTTGATCGGGGAAATGTTGGAGTGATGACATTACCATCCTTTTGTGCTTGTGTGTCGAGGGTGTGGGTGGGGGTTGCGAATACATTGGGATTTCCTTGGATCTGTATGGGATCGTGTTGGACGCTATGTAGGGTCATGAAGGGGTGGAGAAATTGTTGATGGCAGGGCATCTTTTTCTCTGACAGGTAACTAAGATGCAAGGAGAAGATGTCGATGCAACAGAAGAAAGCGCAAGAGCCAGATGTCAACAGAATCCCAAACTTCGGATGTTAGGGTAGCGAATGTCCAGGGTTGATTTCCAGTTTCTTCTGCTTCACACATCAGTTTCCCTTTTTGGCGCAATGGATTCATCGTTTCAAGATGACTTGGGCTCCCATGCCTCAATTGGCCAGAAATAATAATAATTGTTATTATAAGCGCACACGACACACGTTCACGGCATTGTCGTGTTCCTCGACCAGCCTTGCCGCCAGGTGACGTCACGCATTTCCATAGCACTTGCCAAGCCGTCGGGCGCGCAAATGCGTGGTGGCCCTGACAGACCACACGATGTAACAAGAGTTGATTGTGGATAAAACAGGTTCCGAACTTAGGCGGTCATGAACCATCGCTGCTAGGTAAAAGATGCTGTGATATCAGATCTGCAATCGCATCAATTCGCGCCGTCTTGTGTCTCGAATAAAAAAAAAGGAAACACGACCGACTCATTGAGCTAGTCGAGGACTCACTCATTGGCGTGTCGTTACCAGATCAATGCAGCTCACGATGGCGAACAGTACACTTTGAGAAGCTGCCGCTGAACACGCACGTGGCACACGCCAGCAGGCACCGGATCACCATCTGCGCAGCACAATTTCAAAGGCGCAGAGGTTAGCCCCCAAATCCGACAACCAAAACTACTTTTGTGAATCTGCCGGCAGTCCTCAGCTCAGGTCACGACACGCAAGCCACGCACCAATGTTGAGCGGCGTGCTCATGGCTCGCGTCCCCGGCTCCGGATAGATGACAAACTCGCTCGTCACAAGCGTGCGCACATGCTTGTGGGTGGAGAGATATTCCCCCTGCCACAACAGGTGGTGTGAGCGCTGCCCACCAAATCCTCATGCTCGCAGCCAAGAACATTCGCACCCGCTTCAAAGTCATGGCAGCAGCAACCGTCTCCGAGCGCGATCGCGTATCATCCAAAATGCAAATGGCTGCCTTGCCATCGCTGCACTCCACGTCTACGGACAGCACCAATCATCACATTGGGCAATCGCAACCAACTACGTGGCTCTGGTGCCAACTGAAGGTGCTGCCTGATGGGCAAGCACTGACCTGGATAAATTTTATGGGCCAGTCCCAACTGTGGTAAGCTGGAGGCAATCAGGTTGACCACCCCCACCTGCTCCAACTGCCATTCACCCGTGTCATCTCGATATGCCAAAGCACAAGGCGCACTCACGGGCCAATCCTGCGTCGCCAACCAAACAACGCATACATCACCCGTGCAACATCAGACACGTACGCAGCCTGGTCGCAGCCCACAATTCACAGCGCAGTCAAGTACGGTGTACAGACAACAGACTTGCCTGCAATAAACTCAAAAAACCGGCAAGATCATATCGTAG